TCTTGTCTTGATCCTGGTGTAATTTTAAATACAGCAATTGCTGAAAAACGGCTTTCATCTTGCCTTTCCATGTTGGTATCTAGCAATTGGATATCAGGTATCAAGACTGACTGTGTGAAAGATAGTTACAAAACATTCATTCGGAATCCTCTAGTTAAGAAAGAAATGGAGCAATTTGAGAAGAGGGAAAAACGACTAGATAATGTTTTCTTCTCTCTATTTGAAGTTTGCAATGCACCAGAAAATTTACGTTCCTTTGTTAAGCTTCTCCTCATATTGTCACATGAAGTCCTTTTATAGAAAGGGGCTTTTCTGTTAATTCAGATTGTTTAATAAAAAATGAACATGAAGATAGTTTAGTTGCTCTAAGGCAAACTCATGATGGTGTTATGGATACTGGTGATGTTAACAATATAACTGTGACGAAATCCATGATAAACTACGGAAAACAGTCTCACCCACGTTATATTGAAGTATTAGAAAAAAGGAAGGAGGCAGCAGAAGAAAAAAAGAAAGTTATGTTAGAAAAGAATCGAAATGAAAAGTTAAAAAAGAATTGCATGCTAAAAAACAAAAATTAACGGCTGATTTTTATTTAGAAACTTCTTTAATTGATGAACAATTAAAAGCTATAAGAAATTAATTTTTAAAAGCTTTCAATTATTCACTTGTTGAGCTATTTATACTGTATAATTTAATTAACTCCTCTTTTTAAAACATCTCAAACTTAAGTGTCAAAGAATATATTAATATATATATAGGTAGTAAATTTTTTATATTTATATTTAAAGTAAGTTTCCCAGATAATATAAATGAACAACATTATATGACTAAGTATTTTTGGCTTTTCATTTATTGATAATTTATTTCACAAGTAATTTCGATCTCAATTCTAAATTTTTAGTTTGATGGAGTTGATCAATTTGTGTAATAAGCTATTTATATAACAACTTTTTATTTTATACAAAATAAAGTTTCTAAAATTCCTTGAAATGTAGATTTTTATTTTTATAATTTTTATAAACTATTATTAATTTTTAAGTTTATTTTTATGGTTGAGTATACAGCAGTTATTTTTTTATATGTAAATTTTATGGCTGCTATTTCAATAATCTATATTTTTAGCAGAAATATGTGAATTAATATATATTTTTTGGTGCTAGAAATACCTAACTTTTTACACCTGTTTTATCAGAGAACATTTACACTTTTTTCTCATTTTAATGTGTCATCAAATCTTGTAAATGTGTATCCACATTTGTAAAAGAAATTCATACAACTCATTTTAAAAGCAACACAGCTGTATGTATGTATGTATGTATGTATGTATATATATATATATATATATTTAAGNATCCACATTTGTAAAAGAAATTTATACAACACATTTTAAAAGCAACACAGCTGTATATATAGTATATATTTTTTTTATTTACTGTATATTGTTGTATAGCTAATAAATTTATGAAGTCTCGTTAATGTTGCGTTGTGGTATCTGGAATTTTAGAAATTTACTCTGGAAAGTCTGGAAAACTCAGGGATTTTTTTTTGATCTGGAGAGTGGCCACCCTGCAATGAAAGAGTTCCTGGCATTATGTTTTCCAATTAATGATCTGTTGTTATTAAATTATTTTAATTAAGGTCATTGATCCTAAATTAAAAATGGACAGCTTTGTTAAAGGTTATTTTGCATTGTTTATAGATTTTAAAACTGTTAATTTGTTAAGAACATTTATATTTACTGTTTCTGGCAACACTCTTTCATTATATTATACTTTTTATTATGTTGGTTTTATTATGTACACTGAATAACCAATCCATCACTTGGTCTGATGGCGTTGCTTGTGTAACATGCGTTTTAATTATTAAGTTTGTTGTCTAAAAGCTATCAATGTAAATGTTTGCTTATTTTTGAGTAAATCAACAAAAGCAGCTTGATTTAAATAAATTTTTCTTTCAAAGAAACTTTGAATTTAAAAATTTACAAAGCATTTTAATATTAAAATGTGAAATGTTTTTATTGATTTTTATGAATTTAAAATTTGTTGTAAATATATGTTTTTGTTAATAAACTTCTGTTAGCAAAACTACATTAGCGCTTGGTGTGATAAATTGCAGTGCTTTTACAGTGCAGTTAAAATCTTATAATTATTTTGGACTTCTGAAAATGCAAACTGAGAACAACATGAAAATTTAATTTTTTTTTTTATTTCTGTAAAAAGTAGTAATTGAATAGAAATTATTTATCATAAAAAACATGATGAAAATTCTATAAATTACATATTTTCTAAGACAATTTTAAAATTATCTTTTATTTAAATGTTGCAAACATATTTCTGAATAATGAGAAATTTATATAGGTTTTTTTTTGTATGGATTTTTTTAAAAAAAGTTTTAAGTTAAGTTTAGTAAACGTTATTTGTATAGAAATATTTGTTAATGTGCTGTTAAGTAGGATTTGTAGTTGTCCTGATATTTTTGATGAAAAATATTTTGTCTTGATTTTGGGCTTTTTGTCCTAATATTTGTTAATGGTAATCCCACGAATACAATTGCGGATTTTAAAATAACAAATTTGAAGAATCAAATTATTTGGATTTTTGAGCCAACTTTTTTTTTATTTTAATTGATAATGCAAAAAAAAAATTAGGGACCATCCACCAATTGTGTACTTGGTTCAGACTGCAGGATTCATTATTTCAAACTTTTTGGTAATTCACTCATTTTATGAACGAGAGAACTTAATTAACTATTTTCCATCATCAAGTTTTTATGGTGATGAATTCAAGGATCATACACTTTTTTATTATTAATTAAAAAATGCAGTAATGAGTTTTGTAAGGTGAATTTTTATAGTTTTGCAATTCTTGATTCGTCTCTTTCATCTAATTTTATGAATGATAGATTCTAATCAGCAATACTGTAATCATATCATAGAAATTTTAAATGGTGAATTTGAGTAATCATTCACTTAATTTATTTTTTTTTTTACAAAAATGCTAAGTGGCATACTTACTGTGTTTTTGTCTAGAGATTATTGAAACATTATTTTAAAATTATATGATTAAGGAAGGAAGTATTTCATTAAGGTAAGAGATATGGCAACATAATTTAATATTCCATTTCCAAATGTAAAAAGGAATGCTTGTTGTCATTTGCTTATTTAAGTTTGTTTTTCAAATGTTACAGAATCATATTTGGATAACTTCTTGCAGCTTGAAACACTGGTTAAATAATATTGTTTCTCTAATTTTATCATATTTTTATAATGAACTACCATTTGTGTGGTTGCATTTTGGCTGAAGCTTTTGGTGTTCTAAAATATTATTACATATTTATTTGATGTTGTTTTTAACTAGTTACCTAAAATGACTATTATTACAACAGCCTCATTAGTTGATTTGAAATTTCATGTTAATAAAAATTATTATTATTATTATTATTTTGTATGCATAATGGCATATTTTAAAGGGATAATCGTGGTTGGTTAGTTGAGCAGTTAAAATTTATACTACTGATTATTTTCTAATGTATAATAAAATGTATAATATTCTAATGCACCTTAAATGTATGTGCTTTTTTTATGAAGTTCTTAAAATGATTGCTCTATAACAATTATTATGAGAAATTTGAGTTAGAAAACTTCCTAGTGCATACCTGAAGTTATCCACATATTGAGTTTCATTCTGTTGCATTAAGCAGTGTCATTTCTTACATACTTTAGTGCAATGTATCTTTGAAAAACATGGAAATAAAAATATATATTGTTGTTAGAACTTCAAGGCTTTGCTAGTCAAACAATATTTAATATTTATTCATATACCACGGAGAATATAAACCAATATAATTTCAAAGAATTTATTGAATTACAAATTTGAAAAATTACATTCTTGTTCTCTAATTTGATCTGATTATTTATTTTTAAGCTCCTTCTTCAAAAAGAATTTATATTTTCTTTTATAATTATAAGTTTCTAAATTTTTAACTCTGCGAAAAGGCAAAATTAAAATGTCTTTTATCAAAATGTAGGGTGTTAAAATTGAGTCATAAAACTGTTCTTGATTTTTATTTAAGTATTTTTTTACTTTCTATTCTTTTTAATTAGTGCACTGTTTAAGTATACTATTTAAATCACTATATATATTAGTGCACTGTTTTTAGTATGCATTATCATGCATATTAATGTGATTTTAATAATATACATCAACTAACTGCCCATGAATACTATTGTTCATCTATGCATTATTAATAACAGTACTTCAATAAATTATGTACAGGGTGTTAAGATTAAAAATAGCGGTACTCAGTGACTCATAGCTTTCATACTATTTAACAGATCTGAATGATACTTCAAATATATGTTATAGATCAATTGATCAAAATTTGAAGAAACAAATTTCAAATTTTAACTGCCAGTATTATTATAGCAAAATAAAAAGAAAGAATAGTTCAAAAATCAAAGAATAACAAAATATTTTATTTAGTTTTGCAAATCTGTTTGCTTTATTTGCGTACCTTGTTGATCAACAATATACTGAATGTATATGACTGTATTATCAATAACTGCTCCCAACGTACCGGTAGGAATGATGTAATTATCGCATGCAATTCTAATTTTTAAATCGGCTTTATTAATTACACATCTTTGGTAAATGCCACCATTGAAAAAAACCAAGCTGTTAAAAGTCGTAAGGGTTCACATTTGGTGGCTGTGTTGATCACCGTACCTTTTTTATTGCAAAATCTCATGAGCTATTCATTTGTATTTGATTTTAGCTCTACAGAGCCATTTATTATAAACTAAGTTTTCCAAAAGATACCTGTATCTTATCTACATAGCATATATTTATAGCTTTATTCGCATCAGTTTAGTAGAACCCACTGTAGAAGCCTCTTACTATAGTGAGTTTAATTTTAAGCATCATGTATTGAACAAAAAAGTTATGAAAAAACACAGAACAATATTTTTTTTACTTGCGTAATATTTCATTCTTTTGCAGGTTGTGGCATAAATGTGATGAACTTGAAAGAAATAAAAGATTTCACCGGTGCTACAGAATATCATTCTTCTGCTCAACTTCCACGTGCTGTTGTAGAGGATAATAATGTTGTGAAAGGAACAACATATCATCCTATGACTTCAATTGAAATTGTTAAAAAAATGAAGACAATTTTGTGCAGCTATTCCTGAAAGCAAGACTAAAGAATGAATTCAAATGTTATGAAATTAATCTTTCTTATTTTATATAAAAATGAATTATATATTTTTATAGAAAAAAAGTACTATTTGTTCCAAGCATTTTGTGTCTTTTAAAAGGAAACAACTCTAAAATTTTTAACAAAATCTAATTTTTTTTTACTTCATTATTAATATCTGTACATTTGAGAACAGAACAGTTTCCTTATGAATACAAAAAATGCATCTTATTTATACATAGATGTGCATATGAAGTGAATCAGATTTTCATGCTGAATATGACTGCTTATATATATATATTTATGTATGTGTATACATACGTACAGAGAGGGAAAGAGCCTCCCCCGCTCTTTAGATACTTTCGCGATCACTGCTGAAACAAACTTAATTTCACTGATTAAACTTAATTTTTTCAACAAATTCGGATTTTTGACATTAAAATTTGAGGGTTAGTATAATTTTTAAATGGTACGCGATATATATGAATGATATAAATAGTTTCATGGATGGTTGACCGGATAAAGTAAGCACAGATGGCGCTAGGGTTTAAAATTTGCCATGAGACTTCCGGGTTATTTCTTCCAATTGATTTTTATGCCTAATATGCACTTTATATACTAATATGCATATCATAATACCTAGTACTGGGGAAATAGGTTTTTTAAAGACTACAGAATCGGATGAATACCAGAGAAAATTGGTGATTATGGTAATTTTTTACTATCAGGAGCTGGTCTCGACCAGTAGAATTATGACGAATGATACTGTTAATTTTACATTGTTAAGTTTACATTGTTAGTTTACATTGTTAATACTGTTAAATTTGCATTTTTTGTGCATGATTTTGTAATGTTGATCATTACCATTTTATTGATTATTTAGTTTTATTTCAAAAAGAAAAACGAGTACTCAGCCAGTAGCAATAATAATAAATTGAAAAAGCTGCAGAAGCACAAAAAAATATTTATTTTCAACACCACTTTGCTTTAAAGCAAATTAAATTTTTTATAAGGATAGTGTGTCTGAAACACAGACTAATGCTGACCGAAACAAAGAAACTGTATGTTGAAGTCGTTTAAGGATTACTTTTCTTGTCTTTTTTAATTGTTGATTCGTAAAAAAGTATAATTTCCTCCTTAATGTATGGAAGCTGCTGTTTCGTTGGAAGCAAGCAAGAGATTTTTTAGGGTTTATTAATTATGTGTTGGCAAGTTACTTAACCAGTTTTTCCATCCAATTAATACTCAAATAATGTAACTTAGCCGGTTCTTCCACTGAGCATCTTCGGAATGAAAAATTTAGTTATATAAATGAATTTTATAAAGCTATTATATAATAAATAAAACTAAAATAAGAACTTTCCGCGAGAAATCTCAATTTTTTAAAAGCTGTCATTTAGCCGATTCTTCCATTCAGCTCTCATTTATGTTTTGGTATTAATTTACTTAAATTTATTTTCGGTTTACAACGCTTCGGAATTTATAAAATACAGAAAATTTGTTTAAATGGTAAAATTTGATTAAAAAAATTACAATAATAAAACTTTCTAGAATATTAAGCCTGTTCACACATCGCCTCATAAGCGTAACAGCGGTGGGATGCAGCGGAAGTTTTCTAAATTTCTTCCAGTTTTAGGAAATTTGTTATTGTTCACATTCTGTTGTAGTTGGCCATTAAGGCAGAGGGGGTGCCATCTACAGCCAAAAATTAGACTTCTGCCAGTCACACACGTTTATAGAGCAGACCCATTCATTCATCCACAGATCGTTATTTTGACCTGAACCAGAGAACGATCAATCTCCAATTCAGTACCCCCAGAGGTATAATTTGGGAATATGGGGGACTTTGTGACCCAACTGATTTAACATACATTATTTGCTACGTGGGGAGTCTTCGGCTGGCTGGATTCAAACTTCCCTTCTCACAAACATGGGTTCAGCGCCCTACCAACCAGACTATCCCAGCCTACTTTACATTTAGTCAAGCATCTATAGATACATCGCAGTATGCAAAAAGTAACATTTAGAAGTTCAAATTTTCGACCGCTTTTCTGACTAAGCTACTGTAGTCGTATTTACCACTCATAAGGGTCAAAAATCCGAAACTGAAAATAAATATAAAGTTGTTTTCGGATTTTTAAAGAGAAAAATATGCTTTTGTGTCTTAGCTCGTAACATAAAATGTTATGTTCGTTATGTAATTAATTAGCATATCTCTAAAGGCTACTTCTTGAACTGTTAACCGCAAATTTTCATTTTCAAGGCGCTTATTTTTCCTACAAGCCTGTTTTTGATACCTGACAATGGATTCCATGTGTGGTAAACCATAACTATGCCTAAAAAATCTTCAAAAATACTGTGCATAAATACTTTTTATTATGCAAGACTGTTTAAAATTTCAAGAACACTTGTGAAAACTAATAATTTAATTTTGTGCTCATAGAATTTTTTAAAGTTACACGCTTATTTTTCATTGGTATTAATCCATAACAGTAGCTACAGAACAATACTATTTTTTATCCCAGAATCTAATTTATCTGTTGGTGTAAGAAAGATTGTTCACGTTACTAACTAGAAAAGTTGAGAACTAGTTCTTAACCTTTCAATCCTTTCTTTTTTTTGTGGGTAGGCACTAGTCATTTTGTACTACCCCCTAAATGCAAGAGAAACATATTCAAAAAAATTTTTTATAAGATTAAAAGCTAATCCCACTGAAAATTTTTTAGAATAATAGGAAATTATTCGTAGTTGATTTTGTTTGTTATTATTATTATTTTTTTTTTGCCTGAACATATATTTTTTTTTCCTTCGATATAACCTTTGGTTTTTTTCAATACTTTTGAAGCGGGGGTGCCATCCCCTCTGCAGAGGATCAAAATTGTGATGGCTTGTCTTCGGATCATCCTCAGGGATGTTTCCCAGACCGTCCCCAATAGCCCATTGTGCAGCTCTAGTGTGACGTAAATGAACAACAAAACTATAAGAAAAAAAATACTCTTGTGAAACTCTTCCTCACAAAACACACCCCCACTAGTGGTTATTGTTTTCCCTATTGGGTATTTTTATTACTCTAGCGTTCAAAGTTATGAGAATTTTCAGTTGGCCAATTTTCTCTAGAACTATTTGGTAGATTTCAATGAAAGTTGGTATGAACATAGGGTGTTATAAAATTTATAATACCCATTCAACATCTATTACAAAGTCTAGTCACATTAATGCTACCAACTGCTGAAAGCCAAAATAACCACCTTTTGCAGAGGGAACCTGGGCGAGACGTGCAGATAGAGAGTCGAATAGGTTTTTGAAGGCGTTCACTGTGTTGCTGAGCAATGCTGCCTCCACTGCAGTGGCCGGCTGCGTTAGGTTACGTGGTTAAGGATCCATGGTGCAAACAACCAGATCAAGGTGGTTCCACAGATTTCTCGATTGAATTTTAGTCTGCGGGGTTTGGTGGCCAAGTGAATACGGTAATATTCTTCGAAACACGCTAGTACGCTGTGAGCTGTATGATACATTGCATTGCCTGCTGTTAAATGCAACAAACCTAAAGAAAAACAATTCGCATATAGGGGTAAACAAGGATTCGCAAGGACAGATACGTACTTGTGTTGATCCATTGTGCTTTCCACAATTATGAATTCACCCAGAAAATGTCATGGAAACATTCGCAGGCCATAATGATCACTCCACCAGCTTAGGCCCTTCTGACAATTGCTGCAAGGATTTTCTTTCAGATATATTACCCTGTGAATAATCAGCCTGGGCTTCTCTTGCACATTGATTTCATACCAAAGTTTATAAGTTCATGCGACTTTTGGGCCAATTTGTTCAGCAACGCTATTTTCAAGTCATAGGTGACTATTTAGACTTCCCTGGCCTAACGACTTCGCGGTTTTGCCAAACGCTCTGCAGCATCAAGGTATCGGGTCCAAATCCAACCGTAATTACAGATATATGTTTGCGTTGTCTTTCTCTAATTTGTGCTATCTACTATTCAATTTGAGTAATGTTTAAGTCGTTTTTATAATCAGTCCAGTGCCTAAGAGGCCTCCAAGCATTCAGGCTCCCCCTAATGCAAATATTTTTTTTCGTATTCGAAGCATGAGTTTACAAAATTTGAAATAAATATAAGCTTAAATTTACTAATTATATCATAATTTACTTAGGTTATAAATAATTTAAAAGCAATTTGTATGTAAACAACATGTACATTTGGTTTAGAAGTTACGAACTCTGGGCCCCCAAACCTACAGCCTCCGGATTTCTAAATCTGGCCTTGGGCACAAGCCTGCATGTGTAGCAATAAATAAATAAAAATGCTATCCATAGTTATCTGAAGAAAATGAGAATTTAAACTGTCATTTACATCAGTGTCTTGGACGTGTCCTTTAAGTTTAAGATCTGGTGAGCTGGCTGGCTGGTCTATATATTCGCATCCAATGAATGTCCTTTAGTTTCCAAAGGAATTTTATATGGGTACAAGTTTTCATCCATTAAAATGAAATTGGTGCTAACTGCAACTCGAAAACGCGAATGGATGGAGTTTTCTACGAGATTGAGCTGATTTTACTGGCAAATCTTCCGGGTCACTGTTTCCGTAGTATTTTGAGGCCATTTGGCTCACAACGTGTTCATTATATTTTGAGACTCTCTTGAGTAGTATCTCTATATACATAGTTTTTGTTACCTGATTTATTCATGTTTACAATGAATTTCAAGTCTGAAACTCAAAGTTGCTCCTGCTGCGCAATTTGACATTTAAAAAAAAAATGATCGTTATAAACATTACCTTCTCAACAATCTATACCAACTTCGAATTTTAAACCTAAATGAAAATTTATAAAATGATCTTAGTCTCTTAACTAAGGTATGATGGTGCAAGGCTTGCAACTAGAACAAACAGTAATAAACAAGTAAAAAGAGGCCAAATCTGGACAGCCAAAAAATGCTAGTTCTTTCGAAGTCGTGCATTCCTGTCGTCTATTTTAACAATATTTCTATAACTAAAATAAGTTTTCACTTCAAACTCACCATAATTACTGAATACCATATGAAATACAGCAGATTTTGGCTCAGAAATTATAAAATTTATTTCTTTTATTCAAAACAAAATTATCTGTTTGAAAATATCGCCTCGTAGAATTTATGGTGTAGAAGCATAGAGCTTGTTCTGCGAGGCGGTATTTTCAAACATATAATTTCTTTTGAATAAAAGAAATAAATTATCTAATTTCTGAGCTCAAATCCGCTGTATTTCCTTAGATATTAATACTAAGTAATTCTTTTGAGTTAGTAGTGAATATTTGTTTTAGTTATTAATCGATGTAGTTTTAAAAAAGGTGAAATGTTTGCTAGATTTAGAAAGAATATGAGATATGATGAAATACACAAAAAATAAAATTACTAATAAGTGGTCCAAACAATCGACCTTTTTTCCTTTTTTTTTTTCTCTCAAGGTGCTAAAAATCAGCATCGCAAAATGGACTCCGTAATATTTCAATCTAAATAATAAAATCTTTTCAAAGATATTACTTTCATCCCTATTTACTGCCTTTATTAATGATGATTTGCTGTTGTAACTTCCATGAATGTGGCATCATTTGAAAATTCATCCGAAAAAAAAAAGGTGTTCGTTTGAAATCTGCTGGTAAGTATTTTATTTGCGTCGCACTAAAGCTGCACAATGGGCTACTGGCGACGGTCTGGTTGTTGTTGTAGTTCATTTACGTCGCACTAGAGCTGTACAATGGGCTATTGGCGACGGTCTGGGAAGCATCCCTGAGGATGATCCGAAGACATGCCATCACAATTTTGATCCTCTGCAGAGGGGATGGCACCCCTGCTTCGGTAGCCCGACGACCTGCACACGAAGTCGAGCACTTTACGGTAGAACAGTTTAACGAGGACCAATACCGCACACCCTTGGTCCGTACGCAGACTGATCCAAGTGGTCACCCACCCGCTTCCTGAGCGCAGCCAGTGATGCTTGACTTCAGTGTTCTACTAGGAATCGTGTCTTTACGATTAGTTCACTGCGAGACATAATCAATTACAAAAACCTGGAGCAAAAAATGGGAGGTTGGGTTAAGTTGGGTCCTGGGAGGTTGGGTTAAAACTCTGAAAACTCTATCTACTACTCCTCTAGTTCAAGGGCATAGATGAGTGTGCTGCTATGCATATATCACAGAGATAAGAACGTGTATCAGTGATTGAAAAATCGAGCACAATGGCACCATGTTTGATGGCAGCGATCGCAAACCTATTCATGCCTTGTGACTGGTGGTAAGGTGAAAGATTGACTTCCTGAAGCTTTACATTTACTTTTTCAAGGACGCAGTGGACTGATCGTTAAGACATGGGTCTCAGCAGATCACCAAAGTCCAGCATCACTGACTGCGGTCAGCATGCGGGTGGGTGACCACTTAGATCAGTCTGTGAAGGGACGGAGGGTGTGCGGCATTGGTCCTCGTTGAACTGTTCTACCGCTAAGTGCTCGACTTCGCGCAAGGATCATCCTCAGGGATGTTTCCCAGACCGTCGCCAATAGCCCATTGTGTAGCTCTAGTGCGACGTAAATGAAATGCAACAGCCACAACAACAACAGGGACGTAGTTGACTTGATTTGATCATAGTGAACGACAACGAGTGGCACCAAACAGCTAATTTTTTTAATGATTTTCCAGAAGCTGAATATATTCGTTGGATGCATTGTTTAGATAAATCTCCTGACCCCAAATTCCGTTGAGCATGTCCAGTACGCTCCGGACAGAGCAATTGCGACTCGTTCCCCCTTTCAATAACAATCCAGAAGCTGAAAGCGCAAACTCCTCCTGAGTGAGAAAAGAGATATAATTGAACTATTTATGTACTACATTATAATGGTAAACTATTTTCTTACAAAAAAGTTTTTCTATTTACGTTGGCGCAGACGCCATCGCTGTTCACGCTTTCAAACAAATAGCTTAGTTGTGGATCTGTAATGCAACCTGGATAGATTGGCTGGTAAGGCCCTTGTGTGAGGGATCGTAAGTTTGATCCCCGCCAGCCAGTACTTCCCATTTACAAAAGGGTGACTGATGCTCGCTAGGTCTGTTGGGGTCACAAAGTCTTTTAAGTTCCTGTAATATCCAGGGGTATTGGATCAGATTTTGATTATGCTCTGATTCAGGTCAAAATTACGATCTGTTGATGGATGGATGGTGAGTGAATGTGTCCTCCCTGTTAAATGGGCTTTGACGTATGTATGTTGTCTCCGGATCATCCTCAGGGATGTTTCGAGATCGTCGCTAATAGCCCATTATACAGCTCTAGTGCTACGTAAATAAAAAAGGGCCAAAGTATTTGCAATGCTATTAATCACAAAAGCAGCAAAAAATAAACACAACTAAATATTTATCTGTCACTGCAACGAAGTTCTGTGCGTCATATTGAAGCATGGTTATAGGTTCGAATCTGAAGTGGCTATCTAAAAACAAAATGATAAAATGAAAATGGCTGCTTTCGTAATAGTGTTCCTAATCAACCGTATGACACTAATGTATCTTTTGAGTAGTATCTACTCGTTCAAAATTATAAAAACTGTAACATTTTACGAACGCACTTTTTCGATATGGCATTCGTAAAAACACCGAAATCTCGCCAAATACTGATGAGTATTTTCCTCGCCAAATATTCTGCTTTTGATTGGTCGTCTGTGTGGAGGCAAATCTATGCGCAGACGTTTATGCCTGGTACTATCAATTCAATATACAGAAATTTCTTGTTTCATGCCGCGCCCTTGCGAATCTGTGGGTAATTGATGTGGTGGTGTGTTTGGGGTTTTTTGGTGTATTTTACTTAATGTTTAAATTCGTCAATTTTTCTTTTACCCTAATGTTAGTTTATTATACTTTGTAATTGAAGTTAGTGATTTTTAATTTTGGGTAAGTGCACCTTTTCTTTTACGTCTATTTTCAACGAACACATTATTTAACAACTGTGAGTTTAGCTTATGTCATCGTTTGGTTAAAACTTAATATTTTTGGTGTTTAAATAGTAAAAAGGTCTTTGCATTTGAAATATATTTATGTCTGTACGTTTTTATATGTTTTATCGTAAGCATTGAAGGATTTTTATAACCGTTTTAGTTTGTGAGTTGACAGGAATGACTTATTACTTGAAGCCGTGTTCTTTATTTCAATTTTAGCTCTATATGAAGTGTTCTTACTCGTTATTTTCGTTGTCCTTATTACTATGCTTTCTCAGAAAACCTGTGTGAACAGGACTTTTTATTCGCGACTTCTGAAAATAGGTACAATCATAATAAGCTTAATGACTCTAAATCTAAAACTTTCCTCATGTGTTGGCCTAGTATTTAAGTACAATCTTATCCGAATTGAACCTGTTTTATGAAATTCTTACCTTTTTTAATTTTGCAAAGTACTAGATCAAAAGGTTTAATTTATATTTTGGTCAACAAATTATGCAAATTTTTGAGATTGTCAAATTTTATTATTTAAAATCTATGGAGAATATTTTTGTTCATTGATTATTTCTGAGATTTATATTTGCTTACAGTAGAATTAGTTTTACATCCCATAAACTGGAGTTACTTTGCCCCTTTTTTCCCCATTTCGCCAGGAAAGGTAGAAATCTGAACGATAGAGCTTTTCAAATTATTTAAATGTGTTTTTAATGATTATTATAATGAATTATTATGAATGTGTTTTTAATAAGTAATAATGCATTTGTATAATGTTTTAATTTTCATTAAATAACTGAGCATATTACAATGTTGGGTTGAAGTAACCCCTTTTTGGGTATAGGGAGGAATTCTACTGTGAAGTTGGGAGGAGGAGGGCAGATTTCTCAATTACCATCACTTGCTTCAAACATAGATTGTTCAGTAGGGATGTAGATTGTTCATGATTTAATCCACAGTTTGGAGCACTTCATCTTTGTGATTTAGAGCCGATTTTTCTCTGTATTCAAAAATGGAAGAGTGCACCTGTGTACAAATTTTTTAGCCTTGATGACTGATTTTTTACATTGATGAGTCATGTCTATTAATGATTAATTTTCTATTTTTGGAATTATGCATCATTAGACTAGATATTTAAAAATTAGACCACAGGCGCTTTTCATTTTGATAAAACTGGTTTTCCTCCTAGACATTTTAAGTACCAATTTAATATTTAACTTAAACATTGCATGCGATGTTCTGTTTAAGATATTATAAATATCATTTATACCAATGCATAAAGATTTTTTTTTTATAAAAAATTTAAATTTGTCAATTTTTTTTTAATTTCAAAAAGTCTTATTTTGGTTTCATTCTGGTTTCTTGGATCGGCTAAGCCGGGGAAAGAATAAAAGGTACTTTTTTTAGTTTGCATTTTTACTTGTAACTAAAGTTATTTTGCACGTTGTTTAAATTAGTTATTTTATGCAAGGAAGGTACCTGTACTGTGATTTTTCTTTTATTTTTAAATATGATTATGAATGTGTAAGAATATCGGGTATCTTTATATTTTTCTTCTGATTTTTCCATATATGGTTAAAGATCTGAATGATTTTTTTAGGCTTCTGTGATTGTAGATGTATTATGTCCAAAATAAAGAAAAGAAATATGTTCAACAAAATTTTGTCCTAATGTTTGAATTTTTATGAACTAAGTGCGAATCTTCATAGTTTATGGGAGACCTGAACTATGATAGTTTGTTAGCTCCAGAGGAGATTTTAAATTACGAAACTAGACTAAAAACATACTTTCTATTAACAAATATGCTTTTTATCTAAGGATTTAGATTTTTGTCCTTAAAAATAAGGAGAAAATAGCCACAATCTTGAAAGTATGATACCAATCAGAGCTTAAAATTAACCAGGGTCTGAGACTATAAATTTAACTCAAACCATCGTAAAATATCAATGGTTACCCAGCCTTTTTCTTTTGTCCTAAAATAGCATATTTTATCATAATAATGAGTATTATGCATTTTCAGAATTGTGCTGGTTTATATTTAAATTCTCTTTAGTAACTTAAAAAAAAAATAAATAGACTTGTAAATGGACCAGTGACTAAACTTTCTTAATATTTTCCTCAGGTACTAATAGTTTTGACATGAGTTATGATTTTGGATATGTAAAAACTGTTATCTGATGAACTACAGGAAATGAAAAAGGGCAATGCACAGTTGTATTAAATTTGATAGTCAGTAGAGCAAAATTGAAATCAATGATAATTTTTATGTGTTTAATAGTTTCCTAGTGATTCCGGGTCTTCAATGAAATCATATAAATTAAATTCTCTCTATTAAAATTGTATAAATCTCTATTTAAAGATATATAGTACATTTTAAGTTGATAATTAATTACTAAAAAAATGCAATTAGTAATTGATTCAGTAACCCTGTGGCAGAATTTTTTCATAGAAATATCTTACTGCAAGACATTAAAAAATAACAAATATGCATATTACTAATTTAAAGTAAGAGAAGCGTTAACTTCAAAAAATAAATAAAAAAATTGGATCAAATCAAATATTTTTAATTGAATATGCAATTTTTTTTTGTTCTATTATTATGGATGATATTCTCACTTTTTGTGGGAAGATAACACGCTGATTTACTTCTTCACATTTTGTGATTTATCATCACATTAAAAAAAATCGTAAAATCTGTAGGAGTAACTACCAAAAAAAAGATAGACGGCGAAAAGGCGAAATCACACTAATAGGACTCTTCTGAAGGGATTACTAAATGTGTGTTTTCATTTTAAGAGTCCGCTGTTGTAATAAATAATATTGCATTAAAAGTATTGGATTTTAAAAGCTATGTGGAAATCAGTAGTAATAACTGCATGAAAAAAAAACGAAAATTTCTACAGAAAAGAAAACCAAATTTCTACGGAAAAGAAAAAAAAAACTTCATTATTCTTTATTTGTCATTATTCTCAAATGAGAATAGAAAAATCACAAGCATTTCTTCCCACTTCGATGCACGAGAAATGCATCTTTTGAATATAATTATGAAAAAAAGATAAAATCTTTCGAAGATTTCTGCAAAATCGAAGATTTCTGCAAAAAAGAAAAGCTGAATTTTTTACTTCCCAAAGGAAAAATCTTTCTGTAAGAACTCTGTAATGTTTTGCGACTATGTCGCCACGAATCTGCCACAGGCTTCAGTAACAATTCAACATAGAATTAAACCCAAAATTGTCGATCAATTTTCCTTTAATAATCAAAATAAAATATTTTTAAGAGATATTAAGACTCTATATCCTTTTTGATATATACTAATTCAATTAGATAATTTAAAATATTTTGCTAATTGTGGAATAAAACAAGTAGCACTGAATACTGTATAATCTTGAAAAGACTGGACTTCTAGAATCCCAAAACCTCCAAAATGCAGACTTTTTTTCTCTTTTTCCCTCCAGCTGTTGGTGGAGGAATAAAATTAGTTAAATCTATTTTAAATTCGAGGCAAGATGTGAGAACTCACATGTCTTAATAACATATTAAATAAATGTAGATTTTAGTTCTGGAAACTCAGAATAACTTTTAAAAAAAGTGATCAACAAAACCATATGAATTTATGTTGAAATTGTCCTGCACGCCTTCTCAAAGTTTTGAGATAGCTGCAAATTGTATGAGACTGACAATAAATGACTTACAAACCAAATACATACCAGTACAGAAAACACATTTTTATGATACCACTTAATTATCTAAAAAAAAAAATGGAACTGTATCTGGTTTTAATTACTTTTAATTTTCGGTTAACAGAAAGAACACTACCTCTAAAATCTATCAATATGAAAACGAAAAGTTTTTTGGACTTGCACTGTACTTTATTGAAATCTAATTTTCTTTTCAGAAAAATGAAGTTTCTAAAATATGTAAAACTCTCATTAGGCTTGTCCTGATGTATGATTCAGAGACCTGGCTTCTAACAAAAAATAGCTAGACAAAATAGTGATTTTTGAAAAAAAAGTTTCTTGGGAATAGTTTTGGCGGCATTAAAAATATGACCTTTGAGAACATTTTAACTCAGAAATTTATAGAATGTCATCAAGAGCATCAAAATTAATAGAATGAACTAGGCCGTTCATATTGTCAGAGTAGTTGAAAAAGATCCGGTAAAGAAAATAGCATCGAACCTTCACCAGTCTAAATAAGGAAGGCCTAAACAATTCCTTAATTTGGCCGAATCATATTTTAACGTGATTGGGCAGTTCAGGTAAAAAAAATAGGTTGATTTGGAGAAATCTTCATCAGAAGGTTCTTTCTCTTCCTGGGCTGTTGTGCCAAATATGTCTACTCAATGCGATTGCTGTAATACTAATATAAATTAAAACATTTTGATTTAAAAAAATCTGAACCGACTGCAGGCTGAAAATATGATAAACAAGTCACGAGTTTATGACAAAATCTTCATATAATGCCTTTTAAAAAAATTTACTCAAATTCATGTGTCGTAATTATGTAATAAATTTTGGAATTTTAAAGATAAATTGGTAATCCGTAACAATTACTGAATGAACAGTTCTAACCCCACTCAAATTTAGGATGAAATTGAGTGTGCCAAATAGTGATTAGGTAAATGTGATTCAAAATTCACATGCTGTAATAGTACTATTAAAAACATTACCGTTTTAAGAAATCATGTAAAAATTCATTGTAATATCTGTTGAAAAACAATTGGCTGAGCTAAGTGAATACAAATCTAGCACATTTAAAAAATAGATAACTCTCTAGCAAATCTCAATATTCACTGGATAGTAATAACATATTAAAGCTTTGAAATTTTAAAAACTATGCAAAAATTCATAGAATAACTTATGAAAAAGCAAGCAAAACACTATGGGGTTTACAAAAGAATAATTTTTTTTTTTTTATAATTGTGGACCTGTACCTAAAAACCTAAAATCAAAAAATACTTAATGAATATCTAAGATCAAAAATTTTCCTAAATCTGGACTTTCCATATCTTAAAGTACGAAATTTTGATTATATACTGTAATGTGTCCTTGTATGTTAAAGAATTTAAAAAATAAATATCAGCTTTAGTAAAACTTCATGAAATTGTTGTCCCGTACTGAAATATAATTGTACAATAGATAATTTTCATTAAATTTTAGTTACCGTTTGTTTCTAATGGTAAATGACACTATTTAGTTGCAAAAATATTCTTTGACCGATTCGTATTTAAAATTATGCGTCATAGAGGACAGTTATAGCTTTTTCGTGTTCTTTCTAGAATTTTTGCATGTAAGCAGCATCATTGCTGGTTTAACTGATCAAGAGAGTGAATTCTTTACTGATGATGACAGCTTGCTAAAGTGTTGGATTTAAGCACATATTTGTCTACACTTAGATAATTATTGCAACTTTTAACATTTTAATAAAGTTTTTTTTTTCGCACTATCAAATTTTTTTTTTTTGATAGTATCTTTGGCAGTTGATATTCATTGTTAAAATTTGGATTAGATAAAATTATGAGAAGTTTCATAAAATATATTTTCTCTTAGTATTACTCGCAAATGATAAAGAAACAATTTTAAAAATGCAGAACTGCTTTTCACATTATGCACTGTTCATTGCATTAGTTGATTTCCTAGTCTTTATGTACTCTTTTCGGTGTTCCTCAGGTTTTTTCTTGGCATGCTGGGATGTACCAAGAGTCTGGTATGCTGGAGGATATGGTTAAAAAAATATTAGATATTTTTTTTTTTACGTAGAATTATCTTAGATAAAAGAATGTTTCAATTTTATACGAAAAGGAAAAAAAAATCCGACATAGAGGTACTCAAAGAGAAATTAACATAGTCAATGTGCAAATTTTCCACCGCTTTCCTGAATCAACTGTTGGGACAATATTTTAAAGATTTCCTCTAGCTCTCTCCCTCATAGTTTGATGATCAAAACACCAAATTCATTAAAAAAAATGTGAAAAATTGGACTTGGCATAAGAAAAACTAGTTTCCCTTATTGTTTTACATAAAAGAGTATAGTAGAACTAAATCTTATAATTATGTAAATAAGTGTATTTTATCCATAATTACGAATGAAGATCAAGAGTGAAAGAACGGTTTTTGTCCATTTTTCACAAAAATGTTTGGATTACCATCTGTTGCAATTTAAGAACTGCTAAGTTTTGACAAAACAATAACGTGGAAAATCGGTTCTTCTTGAAAGTTAGCACTCAGTGTAGGTGAGTTATGCTGGGGAAAAACTGCTCCTGTCTGCCTTGGAATTCATTCCCCCCCCCCACCTCAGAATCTGATTAAAATTAAATTAAAATTAAATTGGTATTTTAAACAAACAAGCTTTTCATGTTAAAATTTTTCATGTACGCAAATGATAATCTAGAAAACCGTAATAGGAAAATGTGTTAAAGCTTTTTCATATGAATTGGTAAAGATGACGTAGTGTTAAATTTTGTACATTGAGAAGTTCAATTGAGTTTCAAACTAAAAGTTGGAAGCTCTCAATTTGTTATAAGCATTTAAATTAATGAATAAAAGTTTTCGATTAAATACACATCTCTTTTGTATGGAACTTTCTTCTACTTTTATTTTTGTTTTATGTTAAGCAAACATATATACGCAATGGTCGTGCTAAGTTGTGTTTCATGTTTGGTAAGCATATAACACATCAAATGCATGCCATGGTAAACATAATTAAATGAATTGGACATTGAATATAAAAATTAAGCATTTAAAAATTACAATTGCGTAGAAAGAAAGAAAACGCTCGGACGAAAACGTGCATTCTAGGCTGAAAGATGCATTCTAGAATTTATTCTATTATGTATTCTAGGTTACGACTCCAATGGTTTGACCTTTTTTTTAAGTTAATTGTGTCATATTATAAAATTAAATATATTATTTCATTAATGAGTTTCGGCCTTGAAAGTTAAGTTTCGAGCGCGTTCTCTGACAATGCGATATTAGAAAGGAAACATTAATGACTAGGGGAAAAAAAGCTCTTTATTCTTGATTGTTCAAGGCAACAAAAGACATGCCTTCCTAGAAATATTGAGTTTAATACCCTTTGTGGCGCAACCTTATGACCGTGCCTGTAGCTTCAGTTTATTACCGACATTTTAATTCTTTATTTTTTAGATCTGTTCTTTACCGTACTACTTTTCAATCAGGGTTGGAAGAAACTTATTTCTTCCAGTGTCCTGAAGAAATAGGAGAAAACCTGATTAAACTGAAACCAAGTGGAAGAAACTAAAATTGACCAGTGCAATTATTTAACGATAATAATTAAATGAATAGTTCAAATTTAAAACTAATAAAATTTATTATGGTACGAAAAAGTAAAAATTTTTTAAGTTTCATTTTTTTAAAAATAACTCTTCACATTATTTAATTTTATACGGAATTATCAAATTTATATAAATTATTATAATTTATTCTGAATTTTGATTTGTTATATTTGTTTGCCTAAATAAAGGATTAGACTTGTATCTAAATAAATATGTATGCGTATATCAAGTTGAATTATGTGTACCCAGTTATTTCAGTTTATTTTAAGGGGAAAAACTTCTTTTCTAGCTGATGCTTCATAAAATCGCATTTTTCCTTTTTATGTACAAATTATTTCTCATTTTCAGACCCGAATTGAATATTTGTTTGGGCTGCTCGCAATAACGATGTAAGGAAAACTTGGAGTTGTCAAGGAATTGGATTTTGGCAGAATAAAGTAATAGCCGAGGAATTTCATTTTATTCGCTAAAACCTGGAAAGTGCATTGCACATAGTTTCGACCTCAGAAAGGGCATTATAAAAGATTAAAGTCTCGAAAGAACAAAAGTGACTCAAATTACTTAATCTAGTTAAGAACTCTAATTAAGATAATAATCTCTAGATCAAATTACTTCATCTCTAATAATTCTAAGTAATTTTTTTTAAAATTGATAATGGTTATATTTAAATTTTCTACTTGATTTCGAATTTTTTTTTGTTAAATAAATTTTTTTGCAGTTGTGTTTTCAGGGCAGTCATAATTTTTTTTTCACCCATAAATTGACAGCAAAAACAAGGGTTATATATTTTTTTCCCCATTTTCCCCTAAATCCAACACTTAAAAATGGCAGTGGAATTTCGTTTTATGTTAGCCCAAATTGACCAAATTCCAAGTTTTTTTAATTGTTATTTTTTGTTTTGTACTTGTTTAAATTAGAGTAAGTAGCACATCCTCCGGAAAATCTCGAAATTAGATGTCATAAAACATATCTCGTTAAAATTACTTTTTATCAGTTAATTCTATTTTTATATGTTACACGAGTTCCGTTTATATTTGATTTGGCAGTTATTTACAGATTAGCATATCTCCATTAGAAATTGGCATAATTTATATATATTTTTTTCGTACAGTAACTCTCTCGCTTTAATACTTTTAATCTTATTTTTTATTCATAAGAAAAGTGCAACCAGGGTTTACTTAGGATACAATCATAAAATCGGATTGAATATATATAATCAGTTTAAATGTTACTCTACATTTATGAAAGCTACACTGTTGCTGGGTTGTGCTAGGTTGCGTATCTCTGAGGTCGATCATATAGAACAACTGTTTCTAATTTCGCAACTTTTCTTTTCTACAAATTAACTCTTTCAACTATTGATCGCTACGGATTTTGTATTGTATATCATTTGCAATTGTTTTTCAGAGTTGTGTTACAGAAACGAACTTGATGGGCTTTAAATTTGGTTTATTCAATAGATACAATTGCATCAAACTTCTCTCTTGCTCCATTGAAAGCATATGTCTTTCCGCACGGAATAACCCCTAAGGGATTTATCTTCAGATAAATATGGGTTCCACGATCCCTATGACCTTGACTGCTTTTTGTTTTCTCGTTTTCTTTTATTTTTGCTATAACAATGCAATTTTTAGCACCATTTGATTTTGTTATTTTAAATAGTTCCTATTGGTCATACTTTATACATACCAATGTGTGCGGACACCTGGAGGCTTAACCCCTTAAAAGTTCCTGGTCTTTAAAAAAAAAGTATTAACTACATAATTGTTTTACATTAATTTTTTTTAATGTAAATTTATTTTTGCATTAAAAAATTTGTAGTGATCTAGTTTTATAAGTATTTTTTTAAAATTAAGTACATTTAAGTTATTAAAGCTTTTTGGATTTGACCCGTTTTGGTCATTAGAATATATTAAATTTGTAGTGGTATAGGCTAATGTTTTATCGTTTATGGACGGCCTATGTGCGTTAATTATTTTAGACATCAGCGATCATCTCCTTGACCTTGTAATTTTGAATGGCTCAGCAGGCAAGGCAAGGCACCCTGTGTTCCTGAAAAACTTTTTGGATTTACCTAACACTTTTAACACTAAACATACCAACACTTCATGTATACCTATTTCTTCAAATGGCCGGACTTTATGTTTCTTGAATGAATGAAATATTGCATAATGCATTCATTGCTCTACGCATTTTTTACATATGCAGGGTGCTTCCATTGTACATTTTCCGTAAACATACTTCTTCTAATTCTTATTATTTCTATAATTCTTATTACTATAATTCTTATAATTATTCTTATAATTAACATTATTACTTCTAAGAACTTGTGCTGTCTTGATTGTTTCGAAATTTTTCTGGTAAAAACTAACAGTTAGTTTGGAATCAAGTAACGATATCGAAATAAAATATAAGCTACTTACCAAAACAATTAGCTTTTGTCTCTTTTTCTTACACAAAAATGCCAATCTAAAATTTTAGGTACTTTCTTGAAATTTGAATTCAGTTATTCTGATTGAACTAATTTGCAGAAATGTGCAATTGTAATCGAATGCAATACGTTGAACACGCATTAGATTTCTGATTCGATAAGCTTATAAAGCAAATTGTTCTTCTGGTCAAATGACCGGTTGTCTGAAACGGTCAATTGATCGGTTATGGTATGTTTACTGTTAAACAGCTACCTATAAACCATTTTGCTTGATCAGATCAAACGAATGTAATGGAGCAAAAATCTAGTTTTTTTAAAAAATTTTTTTATTTATCAAGTTTTTTTTTATCCCTCTCAAATACTAAACTAAGACTATTTTAAGCTTGAATGATGTTTAATCATATAAAGAAATACTGCCTCAATATTTTATTAATACTTCCGTGAGCGGTTACTCATAAATTTTCATTGTACTCAGCCTTTGTTCTAATTGGGAACTGCGAGTATCAGTTTTAAGTTCTAGGTCAATTACTGGATGCAGTATCAATTCACTTGGTTGATATTTCTTTCGAGAATGGCTTCCGGATTTGATACAGTATGTTCAAAATATCTTCTTAAAGAAATTTTAATATATTTTTCAGTAAAATCAAATCTGTGTCATACTTTAGATAAGCTAAAACGAGTTGTTAATATGCAATTGTCAACATGAACTTCTTTATTTGTAACTTATACTATAAAAATAAAGTTTTAATACTATTAGATTGAAATCATTAATATTGATGTGATTTTTTCCAAGTGTTTGTTGTTATTGTTTAACTGACCCGCCTGTGCATTTTTATAGTAAAAGCAAGGGTCAGCGACCGTTAAAATTTTCACTTATTTGAAATTCTTTTCGCGAAGGATGTGATGCATGTGTGACGTTTTTAGATTGAATAGTCCGTGGGCCGAGTTTAATGTTCAAGACGTTTCCGAATGGATAATTTCACTATAGGAGTTGCTAGTTTGAGTTGTGTAGGTGGCGAAAAATAAAATTCAGTCATATTATTGGCATTTTAAGACGTTTTAGAATCTTTGACTGGCTTTATATTCCGCGAAAACTGAGACAAGCTGTCAGTTTTTAACCGATTTGACATATTTCGAACTTTTTTATTGCGGTGTTATTACAGTCTTATATTTAAAATACAAAGTATAGGGGAAAAAGAACGTGGTGAGAACTATAATATATGAAACTACATCAAATAATAGATGTTAGCAACTTTTTGAGTCATTTTTAGTAGGTATCGAGGATTTTATACAGAGATTTACATTTCGTCCGGAAGAAACTTACTTCTTCCTGGACGGTGGAAAACCGGAAGAAATTGTACGAAATAAAAGGAACTTAAATGACCAATACTATCTTTTAACTATTAGTACCATAAGAATGGCTAAAATTTCAACGAATTTAATTTTATGTAGTACCAGAAATTATAGCTTTTTTTCACATCTACTTAAAAAAATATTTTCCTATCATTTGTTTTTTTTACTTTTATGCAGAATTTTAAAAATCTATTATGTTTAAGAGTCGGTTTGACTATTCATGTTAACGGTATTTGATTATAAAAATTGTATACTATTTGTAATTGTGAATTTCATATGTGTTTTTTAGTAATTTATGTAACTAATATGCGATTTGTTAGTTTAAGTATTATAAAATTTGATTATACTATGCTATTTTTAGAGTACTTATATGATTAAAAAATTAGGTTTTAAATTCATTTACATAAAGTATTGCAAAGCTGCAGTTTAATTTCTTAAGAAATGAAATTTATTTTTGTTTTTAATAGTTCTTTTAGGTTTTCACTTGTTTAAATATGATTATTTAGATTAGATTGCACTTATAAACAGTTTAAAAACTGCTTTAATTGTTTGTTGATATTCTTTTAGAAAGTTTCTTTTATCTCTTCCACTTACGTTGTTAGAAAAACCTATTTCTTTGGGGGTGGTCTTTTTCATTGGTTTTTTCCTCGGTTTTTTTTTTTCCACTGTGGAAGAAACTTGTCATTCCTGATGCAATGTTTTACTCAAGAGATCAAATTTTGAACAATAAGAAAAATTATATTTGTAAACTTGCGATAAAAGCATGATTAGCTTAAGCAGGGGTCTGTTTAGAAGAAATTTGAGTCCGTTAACGGACCCTTCCCAATATATCTTTTCACAGACACGGACCCTTCACAAAATATTTTAACTTAAGAACGGACCCTTTACAAAATAATTTTTCTTTTAATCGGACCCTTCACAAATTTGTTTATCTTCATTATTGTTTTGTTAATCGAATAAACCCTTCCCAGGAAGGGGGGGGGGAAGAAAGACAGATGTTAACGAACTAAGTTTTGTCTTTGGCGGATGCTTCTTCTATTATTCGTCCGAAATGAATATTCTTCGTTCAGCAGCATAGGCTCAATACCAAATATTTGTACGTTGCATCTCTAATTTAGTAGCAACAATTGCTGTTTATTTTTTTAAATTAAATTTTTTTATTGCAATTTTACAGTGTTGAGCATAATCTTGTCTGTCTTTACGATTTAAAAACTCCTTGAAAAAGTTTTTTGCAATAACCGGATCCTATTTGCACAAATTCACAAAAGCCGGATCCTAGTTGAAAGAATGTGACTTGACGTTTATTTTATATTCACAAATTACGAGTAATTTTTTCACAATTTTGACAAAAACGGACCTTTCACAAAATGTCTGGACAGACCCCTGGCTTAAGTCAAGTTTATATTAAGTTTCTACCTGTTAAGTTAGCGTGGTTCGTCTTTCGCGTATTGTCTAAAAAGGTTATATTTTTCCACCGCAACATGAACTTCAAACCTTAATTACTTTCAGTATCTTACAACTTTTGAATAGTCCGTAATCGATGCGTGAAACGATTGACCTTAACCGTGATAACACTTCTTGTATCCTTGGATACCGTAGAATGAAAAAACTCTTAAAATTGCAGCTGTTGTAGCATATGTTTGTATATAATTA